ATCTAAGCATTTTTAACTCCCTATTCTTGTTTGCTTCAAATCCATAGATAAGGCTCTCTACGTGGTATAAGTCTAATCCATATTTAATGCCAACTACTTGTTAGATTCCCAATCCATGTCCCCAAAGTGTAGTACGAAAACATTTCATATTTGGAGTACGAATACAACAAACAATGCTCTTGCAAATGTTATTTCTAACACAAGAGCCCCACGGGCCATACAAGTCAGTGCACCAAAGCCATCTCGCGTGTTCACCAGCGCACGTTTGAGATAAGCGTGCTAGTTAAACTAAGACATGCTTTTTCTCTATGCCTTTCTGTTCGTTCCGTTCGGTGATGCAAAATGTTATTTTTATTTTTTAAAATTCAAACAAGTAACACTAGCAGATCGATCGTTCTAACAGTTTTAGAAAACGTTCTGTGGTTGCTGGCTGTACCGGAACGCGGTCGTCATACTTTATTGACCTTTAACACATGGAGGTTTGCCTCTTTCATCAGCGCCCTTAACCTACCCCATGTCTAGGCTTGTGACCCCAAACAAGTCGTCATAACTCCAGGCAAACGTTTGAATTATTTTAATGCGATAATTGTTATATATTTTGTGTGTACGTGTTCAATTTCTTAGAACCCACATATTACATTGTTGATTTTTCTCGCCTTGTGTTAGATCAATCGTTCACGGCTGGAGGCTTTCATCCAGCGCCGCGACGCTTTGATAACATCAAACAACCCTATAAATAATCGCAATAAGTGAATTTTTAATTTTCTCGCTTTGTTTGGACGTTACAAGTTTTGCTATTTTTTTCTTCTTAAAATTACTTATGAATGCTTATTTATCAGCAACCAACTTGTCAGCCCCAGCTACTTGTCAGCAACCTACTTGTCAGAAACCTAACTACCTAACGTTATATGTTCATGCCATTCAACAACTTAACGAATTTCCATTTAAAAAACCTATTGAAATGTGTATTTAAAAAAAACAAACAAATTAAACCGATTAAGATGATACTTTTCTTTGCAGTTGTCTACTTGCAAGTTCTACTTGCCTGACACAATGTTGCACTCAGCTGATATTTTGTCTAGGGAAATGGAGCGAATTACACTTACGTGGGTGAAATACATGTTCTCTGGAAATTCTAGTGAATATGGTTGAAAGTTCAAATTTGCTTATTTTACTTCAACGATATTTTGTTTTAGTCTTCAAATTCTCTTTTCCTTTAACAATAAAATTTTAAGTCGATTTTTGAATGCCTCAATTGTTACATTTGTTTTTGTTACGTTTTAAAATACTCCAATTTTGTGTGTATGGAGTATTTTTAAAAAAAAATCATTATTTATACACTCTTAATGTTTTAACCTTCACAAGATGTGCCGCAATTTTAAAAATGTGCCAACTGCCTGCGGCAACCAAAATCATAAAAAATATTTTAATGAAAGAGTTATAAGTTAAAAATCGGCGCTTTAATCAAAGAATGTTGCCGATCTCCCGACTTCAAACACCGACATGATGATCTTTATAAGTGTCATTAACTAGTATTGAGCATAAATTATAATAGGAGATTTAATACACACGTTTGATTGCACATTGTACAAAAATAAAGTTTACCGCAGGGACAATAATAATTTAATTACGAGGAATTTCTTGTCTTTGCTTGGTTGGAAACACCTTGTCTGTGTCGCCTTTACGCGGTTGCAGAGTCTGGCTAACCGCATCTACACAGGTTTCCAGAGTGGCTTCCACTGTGGTCGTTGAACTATTGACATGCTAGTCTCCTTACGCCAGTTACAGGAGAAGTATTATTAACAGCTCATATCTCTTTAAATTGCGTTCGTAGATCTGACCAAGGTATTCGACTAGGTAAGCCAGGATGGCATGTTCAGATTCTAGCATAAAATAGCGTGTCCTCCCCTCCCCCCCCCCCACATGACTGCTCGCAATCATAAAACTATTGCACGAAAACATATGCAGCCCATCGACCCTCTACACCCCCTTCCTGCGCCACTGGTCGGGTGTAAAAATTATGTGACAGTTGGTGAGGAGGGTCCAATATCGGCAAAAATAGCGTTACATCATTTAGGAATGGCCCCTTAATAAAAAAAAAATGTGCTTTATAATGGTGCCAATAGATAGGCAAGTTATTTGNTCTAGCATAAAATAGAGTGTCCTCCCCCCCCCCCCCCCCCACATGACTGCTCGCAATCATAAAACTATTGCACGAAAACATATGCAGCCCATCGACCCTCTACACCCCCTTCCTGCGCCACTGGTCGGGTGTAAAAATTATGTGACAGTTGGTGAGGAGGGTCCAATATCGGCAAAAATAGCGTTACATCATTTAGGAATGGCCCCTTAATAAAAAAAAAATGTGCTTTATAATGGTGCCAATAGATAGGCAAGTTATTTGTAGTTTCGCTTTGCTTTTCAATACAAGGGTCAGAAATTTCATCATGGGTCATTACTTGTGGGGTCTTCTGTTGTTGCGTCATTTAATATTCTGGCCTATTTAATGACAGGAAAGGTCCTTGAGAAGACATTTATATTTATTTCTCCTTTAACCGAAGATCGTTTTCCAAATAATGAAATTGTTTACCATTCGCACGCACTGAAGTCGCTGGTGAGGGAAGGTTTTTGCCACCACACTAGATGCAGCAGTCCGCATTCACTGTGTCAATGGTTTTTGCCACCACATTACATGCAGCAGTCCGCATTCACTGTGTCAATGGTTTTTGCCACCACATTACATGCAGCAGTCCGCATTCACTGTGTCAATGGTTTTTGCCACCACATTACATGCAGCAGTGCGCATTCACTGTGTCAATGGTTTTTGCCACCACATTACATGCAGCAGTGCGCATTCACTGTGTCAATGGTTTTTGCCACCACATTACATGCAGCAGTCCGCATTCACTGTGTCAATGGTTTTTGCCACCACATTACATGCAGCAGTGCGCATTCACTGTGTCAATGGTTTTTCCCGACCTGCTAACGCTGGACAGGGTGATTCAAATACACGTGACCGAACTTAAAATGGTTCAAAGCTGCGTGTAAAATCCATTACAAAACATTGCCTGTTACGCCGTTCGGGTGAGTTCTATGACAAACAATTCCTGGGTGTGGCAAACTTAGCTGCTTCAATCATAATTATTATTATTTTTTTTTTCAACACTACACGTTTCTAGCCTATGATGTTTAGCAGATATTGTGTAGTTATAATTTAATTGTCCGCAGCATGTCATCATGCCTGCAAAAACACCGGTATAGTTATTTTTTACGCCAGTTATCAAGCAATCTATTAACTGGGCTTGTGGCTATTAACATTTAAACTTTAATTGTAATTCAGCATTGCAGTATGGCAAAAAAATGGGTGCATTTTAAAACAAGATTTAATATTAACTGTGTAAATCATCAATGTGTTCATATCATACGCTATAAATAAAGAACGTTGATGCTACTTATAAGGATATATTTTTTTTGAAAGCACAGTGGAAGTGAAAAAGTGAGCAAGCTTATGATGTTTGGCCATGTAAGGACAATGGATGGAGACCATAGTCACACGGAACTGCTGTATGGAGATTTGCCAGAGGTACACGACTTATTCGACCGCCGCGGCCGCGATTTAAGGACATGCACATTCTCAGCTAAATAGAAAAAAATAATAAATTACTTAAAATTTTCTTTGGAAAAAATAGAAATTACGAAAAATTCTTATCATATACATTATCCTTTATTAACTAAGCGATAAAATGTGTGTAGACCTTATTATTTTGTAATACAGCATTAATTTTACAGTAGCGAAGCGGGTTTTTATGTTATTGCGTTAGAAATATTTGTATCTGTCTCAGCTTCAACAAAACGGTAAGCAACCTAGATGCAAAAGAGCATTCTAAGTCATTAATGCTAACATGTGGGATAAGAAAACGGTACAACAGCACGCTACAACAGCATGGACAAGAGCAAGGTACAGCAGCATCGTACATCAGCATCGTACAGCAGCATGGTATAGCAGCATGGTACAACATTAAAAATTGTAAGGTCTAAAAAAAGTATCATCTTTAATGGTTGCATTATTTATTATCAACGTTTTGAATGAATGAATACAAAATACGTTGCCTTCGCTTCCGTGTGCACGCATATAAAGCTTGTTTTCCTCGTTCAAATATTGATCTATACCAGGGATCACCAAACTTTTTTTTCACCGCAGGCCGTAATTTGGTGACCCCTGATTTTTTCCATCTTTTATATGACAGATGTGCCCGGGCGCCAGCTAGTTAGGGGCGCCAAAATGTCCTTTGATATTATTTTATTGATGAAAATTATGGGTTTGAGAGTTGAAAAAAAGAAAAAGGGTCGCTTTAAAATGGATCTTATCCCCCCGGGCGCCAAACATCCTCGCCACGCTTCTGCACGGCTCTGAAAATTTTAAACGCATAAAAACTGTCAAACCGTACCGGTTAGTATATTGGACAAAAGTCAAATTGTAACACCTGGATCGTACCATATATTTTTTGAAAAGCTATTATTTCCGTTAATGATTTCGAAGACAATCATCACAGCACTGATATCCTTCGACGCATCGGTATGTTAGAGAATTCAGCGGCCCATATCGATCTTTGTTCTATATATTATTGACACTCCTTTGAAAATTACTATGCGAGAAGCGTTGTTTCTGTAGCTGACGAATTCTAAGAGAACCAACAGCCGTCTCTTGGTGATTGCAGTTGACACAGGGGGCGCTAGTTGTATTAACAATGGAACATTTGTTGTGTGTAATGTGCAGGGCAATACCATTTTTCGAATTTCATTCATTGAGGTTATTATATATTTTTTAGATGGCAGTACAGCTTGATGTTAATATATGTTTATTTGCAGTAAAGCCACTGACGTGTGTTCTTATAAAACATATTAAATTCGAATTCAAAGCAAGGAAAAAAACACACATTTATATTACGAACCTCAAAGTGTTTCCAATAGTTCTTAGCGTAGTTAAGCGTTTCCGTTTGGCGCTTAGATCACTGAACTCGAACAGTTACGTGACTAGATGCTAGCTTTTAGATGGAGTAACTATTCAATTAGCTGCTGGATTTTAACTGAAGTAACTATTCAATTAGGTGCTTGGTTTTAGCTGGAGTAACTATTCAATTAGCTGCTGACTACATGCTTGAGTGCTAAGCCTGATTTGTCAAATCCACACCCTTTCTAGGCTTTTTACCTGTGTAAGTATTTAAAAATAAGATAAGATTATTTATTGATCAAAATAAAGGGATTTAAAAAAATACATTGTAATATTAATTTTAAGCACATAATTAATTCATACTTTTAAACAAGATAACATTTTAAATCCTTTCTACTTTAATTTTGTCTATAAGACTTTAAAAAAAATGACTTTGAAAACAACAACAAATCAAGTACTTTTTGAAAATATGGTATCCCAGTCAAGACACAACTGGTTTACTGACTCGGTGTAAAGGCATCCCTTAATTAATAGTTCAGTTAATGTGATAGACAAAATTGTTTTCTTCAAATTATACCCTTTTTTGTGTGTGTGGTTAAATATTAGAAATCAATTTCGTTTCAAATTTAAATCCTAGTGTCACAATATATGGTTCTGTGAGACTTTCTCCACAATTTTAATAGTGGTGGAGTGAGACTATAAAAAAATCATTTGTAGGTAACGTCAATAGAAAATATCTGTAAAGACCGCTTTAACTGATTTTGTATAAGTTATCAAAATGGATATATAATATTTGTAAAGACAGCTTTTAATTGATGTTGAAGAAGTTATAAAAATTAGAATAGAACATATTTGTAAACACTGCTCTAATTGGTTTTAAATAAGTTATTAAAGCGCACTTTCGCATTTGCTGGTCCAACAATTTGGAACGCCCTTCCTGTCGCTCTCAGAAACTACCAGACACGGGAGTCCTTTAAAACCGATTTAAAGACACATATGTTTCGCAAACACCTTCTGGGATTATTGTCTACCATATTTTCCAGTTAATGCATATTGGCTGTGTTGCTTAGGGTTTAAATGGGTAGAAAGACTTTGACTTGCTATGCTTGTAATTAGTTTTTGTAGTGTTGCGTTTGTTTTAAATCTGGTCAATTATCGTTTTTTTTTGTTGTTTTTTTTTTGTTGACTTTGTACCGCGCTTTGAGTCTTTGGGGATGAAGCGTGTTTTTGAAATAAACTTTATTATTATTATTATTATTAAATTGGAATAAAAAATATCAAGAGAATTTCCATTATTTATTCTGTACAACGTTCGGTTTGAAATGTAATCTGACTACAAAAACATATTGTGCTACTCATTTCTTCCTTTTATTTCCAGGTCTTATCAATTGTTACAGACATCGTAGGAAACAATGACTTATAAGCTAATAAAATTGTTCCTGATATATTTCCTACTGGCAACGTTTCGAGGTTGTAAGTTAAACACTATCTTTGAATAATGTCAGAATTTAAATGTATAATTTATTCTTTTTTTTAAATCTGTATTTTGCAATTTATATTGTGACGGAAACATTTCTTACAAAAATTGTTCCCATACGTGCTTTTAAATTAAGACTGGAATAAGGAATTTATTTCAATAGCCCCCCCCCCTCCACCCCTAAAAATATAATAAAAAATAAAAAAATTGTTGATATTTTTTTTTTTAAATTTTTCCAAACCATAACTACAAGTTTTAAGCTGTGACGGGAATTTAAAATAACTATTACAAATATAGTTTGTTGTCATTTCTTATGAGTTTTAGAAGTACCAAAACTAAAACAAATGAAAGCCGTATTATTGTTTAAACTCTAGTTTGAAAATGTATATGCTTTTTTTATTTACAATCGTGTCAAATAAAAAAAAAAGAGTAATACAAATTCTAGATATAGATAATGGAGACGTAGAGGATAATTTCTAAAAGTTAAATACATCTATATTTTCAACACACCTTGGGACTAACAAGAAATGCAACACACACTGGGACCATAGATAACTTTTAACATACACTGGAAAATAGAGAACTTGTAACATTCATCGTATGGTAATTGTTAACACATTTAAGTCGTTGATCTCACTGTACAACCTGTATAATATTCAGCAAAATTGATTATATTTAAAGTGTAAGTAATAAAATATCCGTTTTAGTGGTTATTTTCACCATTTACCCTAAAACTAATTTTAGAATACTGCGTTAGATATAGAGCTTGTCGAGTCAAATGTGGACGAACAACAACCCAGTAGGGTCCTACCTTAACAGGGACCCGACTTTCCGGCATTTCACACAATCCCACAAAGAGGTGTAGGCCAGTTTGCTTCCAGCTCCAAGCTTGATGTCAAGGATGCAAGGACGTCATACGAGTCGTACGTTCAAGATATATTCAATGGCCAAGTCGACCAGATGGACCTCACGGCAAATGTGTTAGTCGGGGTCACAAAGGAATCGTTTAGCTTGTCCCAACCCTCTACCCACAGATTAGTATATTATTTGATTACAGTTAACATTATATTGTCTTGTGGTGATAAATGCATGGCAAGCATTTGAAATTTTTTAGGCATAGTAAAGCAAAATATATCGTGTTGAATAATTTAAATTATTTTTTTTACAATAGTAGAAACCAGAGTGACAACATTGATTAAAATAGTGGCTACTGACGTAGTACTTGATCAGAATGAACAAACCATCCACGAAGTCAATCTAGCAGGCTGTGCATTCAGATGTCGCAACTCTCAAGAGAAATGTTGCAGTTTTTACTACAACAGGCAGGCACGAGAATGTACATTGGGTAATATTTTGCACACCGTCTTTAAGATAAGTTTGTGTTCAAATTGTTTTGTTTGAAAAATGTGGCCTTAATTAAATGATCTATTTATTAATATTGTGAAGATGTAAATGTACAATGCAATCAAAAACATTTCCATTCATTTGGATCAATAAAAGAATCGTATATTATATTATCTTATAAATGGATTATTTTCTTTTCCTGATGGATTACATTTTTATTGTCCATGGTACACCAAACTACGGCCGGAGGGCCGGATTCGGCCCACCGACGGCACTTTAACTTGCTTGATAAAACATATCGAACACATGACGTTGTGATACAATGTAAATTTAAATACAATGTTTAGAATACAAGGAGATCATCAAACGTGTTGAGACCTCCTAGCTGCTATGCGCCTTAAATTTATCATTTTCAATTTTCAATTATTGTATCTGTATTTTCGTGTTTAAATTAATTGTAGTTTGGCATATTTCGCCCAAGTCCTCCCCCCACCCCCCCCCCAACCCCGGCTCGTGGTAGCTCCGACTACGCTCTGACGTTAGTTGTGATACAATGTAAATTTAAAATCAATGTTTAGAATACAAGGAGATCATCAAACGTGTTGAGTCCTCCTAGCTGCTATGCGCCTTAAATTTATCATTTTCAATTTTCAATTATTGTATCTGTATTTTCGTGTTTAAATTAATTGTAGTTTGGCATATTTCGCCCAAGTCCTCCCCCCCCCCCCCCCCCAACCCCGGCTCGTGGTAGCTCCGACTACGCTCTGACGTTACCTTGGTTAACACCTATGATTTACATGGCAAAGTAAACTTAGTTTTTTCGTCTTTTTCACCCAGAGCTTTCGTTCTGGCTTGCAAGTATTGTACAGAGTGATTATATGGCCCGCGCTCTTCATTTTTGTCAGTTATCGGGCCCACTGGGAAAAAAAGTTTGTTGACCCGTGGTTCATTCGAATCAAATGATGTAATCCGTTGATGCATAGATTAATAATTGAAGGACTGCATTCAAGTTGTGTAAATATAAAATAAAGACAAGGTATTCTAAACTTGAATTCATAGACAGGAGAAAAGATTTAAATCCTACTTCCCGCAAAAAAAAAAAGGAAGGAAATCTTTAAAATGTGTTACTTCTTTTTTGTCTTCTTTGCTGATGAAGGCTCTAAGCCTGAACGACTAAATCTTTTTTCCTGTCCATGAATTCAAGCTTAGCATACCTTGTCCTTATATTTCATGTATAAGTTAAGCCAGTCGCCTAAAGCACATATTCGAAACAGCCCACACATCTTTATATGCGCATCAGACTTTTCTTAGTCGGGTTCCCAGAGGTTGGTGAAAATTATGTGTCATCGGTTAAGGCTATGGTGATTGGTAACATGTGTTTTGTGTATTTCTGTACGTAGAATTTATATTTTTATGTCTGCTCATTTGTGCCCCTTGTATTTATGACGTTTGTATTTGGGAAACGGGCGTTAGTAGGTAACTATATAATTACATTGATGGGATACAAGAAAAGCTGTTTCCAGGCAAGCAGACTGGTAATCTAAATTAATAAATTGCATTTCCATATTGGGATAAAGCAATCTGCTAAATTATTGAAAATTATGTTTAGCGAAAATACACCGCTTTAAAGACAAATTAACGTATTGTTTTCTATTTTTTAACGTCTACTATTTGCTGATGTTTTTGGCCTCAATCATCTGACCCCGATACACAGTTCCAACTGTGTGTTACAGTGTAGACTGTTGAGTACAGGAGTTCATTAATAATTGTTGCGCACGGTGTGTGTTTGAGAGTTTTATGAGTTAGTGAACCGTCTTCCCGCGCTTGACTGGGTGACGTATTTTTAGGCTCATTATGACGTATTGTCTAGTCTGTATTGTGACGGACGTTTTATTCGTCTGGCAGTCATGAAAAGATTTTTGTGATAAGAGGTTGTGGTTTATTTCTGTCTGAAAACGAGCTCCGCTATATGCATGCGTTTATAGACTTAACAGCCTGTGTTTATAATTAGATATTTACGTTACATTTATTGTGATAAAGGACTTGAGTTGATTCAGTGCTAGTACGACGTATTACAACGTGTGAAAAAAAATGATGAATTAACCAATTTAATAGAAACAGGAGTTGACATACACCGATGTACAATCTATACCCACATTTTTTGAACGCAAGCTCTCATTGTATGGCTTCAGGATATAAAAAAAAAAATTAGCTTTTCCCGAACGAGGCTTGTTTAGGAAAAAAATCGACACTCTACTGTGAATCGATTTTGCCTGCATTCACCTCTCTCTTACACACGTCTTGTTTTTCACATTTGCTGCCTTACAATTGGACTTCCATTTTTTTCTCAGTGATTCGAACAGCAATCGATTATGTCAACAGTCTGTCCCCGTTATCTTGACATTGCCTTACCGGCGAGGGCGTGCCATATTTACAACGTGCATTTCTTAAGTAAATAACATTTAATATTTCCTCCAGCTAATTCCTTGCATCAACGGAACATAATACTTGGTGTCCACCCTTTAATAAAACAGTTAAAACGTATCATCTGTAGTAGTTTTACCAATCCCTTTCTTCAGGCTTCTGGCTGCTGCCTTCAACGAAACCCAGAGATCAAATGACAGATTTATTCACTGTTGGAACATCTTTCAATACTTCAGACGCATTGGGACCTTGTAGAGGTATTGCTACTACGTCGAAATAACTCAACTAATGATCATAAATTTGTTTTGTTTTAGTTATAATATAAATATTATATGACCGATTAGATAATAATAATAATAATAAAGTTCATTTCAAAAACACGCTTCATCCCCAAAGGCTCGAAGCGTGGTACAAAGTCAACAAAAAACATATCTATAATTTACCACATTTAAGACTAACGCCACACTACAAAAACTAAATACAAACATACAATGGCAAAGTCTTTTTAGCCATTTCAACCCGAAGCAACACAGCCATTATGCATTAACTGGAAAATAAGGTAGATGCCGAGCTATCAACACGTCGAAAAGGGGAGCTTACTCCCCCCCTCCTCTTCCCGACCCAGTAAAAATAAATTTAAAAAAAACAATAAAGAAACAATAAAATGAAAACTTTAAAAAGTTTTCTGTCTGTATGTTTAGAAAAAAAGCGGTGGGGTTGATATTACCAATGAAATACACTTTTCAAATGTCAATCACTTATAAGAGTATCAAATAATGTATATTAATCAATTTTGTGTACCTTCGTCCTTCCTTCATTGTACGGACACCATATTTTATTTAAACATATGAATATGTTATATCTTAGGGACATCCGATTTTGGGATGACAGAAAATGTAGAACCGGATGTTAAAATGCATCGGAATTTCTGTAACACTTCAGCCAACTTTACGGTATTAAGACTTGGAAGCACCAGTGTTTGCATCTGGATATCAAGCAAAAACAGTTCTTATATAGCAGCAAAACCCGACTGCATCGGTCAGTTGAATTGGTCCTTTAAGAAAATATAATTGTTGAATAATTAAACAAGAGAGTGTCACTGTATCTACATTTTATGTTTCCTGCACGAGAGATTATCCCAATTGTAAATCGTCATTTTCATTTTGAGTATTATATAGCAGCTAAAGTAAAAGCATACATTTAAAAAAACAAAAAACAAAAAGAAACACAACAAACTACGTATAATACGTGAGCCAGTAGCGGCAAAACCATTAAAGTAGCTTTAGTGATTGTGTTAAATACGTAATTTTGATAATTACGATTACTTTAATAACTGTAATATTTTTAAACAAAAATATTTCACTATTGCTATTCTTAGCTAAAGGAGCAAACTTATACACGTTTAAAACTGTGGATAAAACCCGAATTTTTCTTAACATCTCTGACTCCTACGTGTCTGACTTCTGGCTGGGGCTGGATGACATGCAACAAGAAACAGTGTTCAGGTGGGCAGATGATGACTCCATAACAAACGTAACGAATCTCAACATTCCGTTTAAAGGTAGGTAATTAAAATCGAGTCCAAATAATCATTTTCGTGCCTCATATTAAGAGTATAATGTGTCAAATCTTGTATCTGAAATCTCAAGTGTCACTGGTTATATCCTAAACTTGATGAATCATGTCTTTTATCTAAAAAAAAAAAATCAAGTCTCACTGGTTATAGATAAAAAAACAAACATTTATCAAGTTTAAAAAAAATCTAAACCATAGTTTTCAACGGTTATATCAAGAAAACCACGAATCCAATCTAATTATTAGATGGAATCCATCAACAAACACACCAATATTGCACAGTGAAAGATAACACGGGGTAATAATGTTAATTTTAATTTGCTCTAACCATTGATTATATAAATACGAGAAAGTTTGGTTCACTTTGCGACATGGTATTCCCACTAAATATGAACATTTGTTTTAGCCCTCCGTATGACGTATTTCTTCTTAATATTGTTTTCAAACTTTTCTTCAACATTTATGGTTTTACAAGTGGAGCTCTCAGAATAGCTAACTGTAGTTCCAATAAACATCAATCCTAATGTATTTATAATTACTTTATATATTACACATTTAGGTATTTTTATATAGCGCTTACCTTAAAGCTCTAAGCACTTTACAATTATTAAAAACATGTAAACTAAGTTAAATAAAAAATTTAAAAAAAAACATATATGGCAGAAGATTCCAGCGAGTCTTACACGAGCTTAAAAAAAAAAATAAAGATGAAGTATTCTAAAATGATATAAAACCTAAGAAAGAGGTGTTACAGTAAAAAGTAGCATGTTTTTTTTTTTTTAAATTGAAATAATGCGTTACACTTTTCTCATTTTCAAGCACCAAAAATTCAAATGTGTAAATTAAATTTTTATACTTAATGTGCTTGAACAATGAATTTTTAAGCAAATGAAATGTTTATTAGTTTGGGTAGACCAAAAAAAAAAGGCACAGAGCTTCTCATCTTATTTTAATTTTTTTTTATCGCAGACATATTAATTAGAAATTACAACGCAGACTGCATTGCTTACATCAGGGATAATAAAACTAATTTTTTTTTTTTTAAATTGAAATAATTCGTTACACTTTTCTCATTTTCAAGCACCAAAAATTCAAATGTGTAAATTAAATTTTTATACTTAATGTGATTAAAAAATGAATTTTTAAGCAAATGAAATGTTTATTAGTTTGGGTAGACCAAAAAAAAAAAGGCACAGAGCTTCTCATCTTATTTTAATTTTTTTTTATCGCAGACATATTAATGAGAAATTACAACGCAGACTGCATTGCTTACATCAGGGATAATAAAACTATCGACGACCTTGGTTGCACAGAGGGCAAACGCTACATTTGCGAGATGAATCCACAATGCTCTTAAGTCTACCTTGTAGAGGGATATATATAATGACGGAACAATTGCAAGCCCACAAGTTAGAAGAAAAAAAAACACCATTATTTTTAAAATTGAAAACATTTTCCTTCCGGCATCACAAAAATATTATACATTAAGAAAAAGGCAATTTCCATTTATATAAAAAAGAATCAATTAATATTTCGTACTTTTCACCTTGTTCATACGCAAACAATATAATGACCTCTGCTAAAAATAGAGTTTTCTTTTATTTCTAAGGGGAAATCATCTCACGGTTTGCCAGAAATTTAAAAAAAAAAATTAACTAAAAAAAATTAGTACAATTTGAACTAAATATTTGATACATGATAATTGTATTTATATTTTTAAATGGGAATTATATTAAACACCTTTATAATAGCATCTGATATCACATGTTCGTCTTCCTTTATTTGTTAGCTTTAATATTTATACAGAATACCATACTAGTGAATTGGTAAACGCGTTCAAGAAATATGTTTGTGAAGTGTTTGTGAAGTAGATGAGCTCAACTCAACAGGAGCAGGATATTATTCAAAGTTACGACCTAATTTTATTATTAACTTAACACTGTTGAAGTCAAGACAGCTACTACTGCTTATCTCATGACGACAGCTGTTTTGTTTTGGGTAGTTTTCTACGTGCCAGTACAAACTATCATTTAAAAAGACAACCATTGACGCTACTTAGTTTCCATATCCCGCCCCCCCCCCCGACTTTAATACTGCTGGTGGATTGTTTATCATCGTAAATTTTTTGGGGGAGATTTAAACAATATTATGTAGAAAATAATGTACATTCCACACAAGAGTAGGGTTGGGCGTGCATACACTAAGATATCACAGGCGCGCTCATTGGACTGGATTCAAATCTCCAAATAAATGTAAACGATATTTTTTTAAAAGATCAATTAACTGTTGGTAAGGATACGCTAAATATTAATTGTTGTATATAAGTTTTTCTTTTTATTTTAAAATAATAAATATTGTACATACAAATTATAAATAATGAAAAAGTTTAGTTTTTTAATTTATTCTCGAACTCCTGTCTCTGAAACACCTAATTTTAAACCCATAATCTTCCAACACCTAATCTCAAACCCCACATCTCAAAACTTAATCTACAAACCCTTAATCTCAAACTCCAAATCTGAAACTCCTAATCTACAAACCCTAATCTACAAACCCTTAGTCTACAAATCCTTAAATCTACAAACCCCTACCTTCAAACCCCTACCTTCAAACCCCTAATTTACAAATTTCTAATTTACAAACCATGTCAACTAAATTTCCACGATCTTACCTATACCCCTAAACCGCCCCTCCACCTACCCCGTATCTTTCAATCCACTTTGAGATATGCCAGCAAGAGCGAACCCTGACCTAACATTTTGGTTTAAAGACAAGGAAGTTCATTTAGTGTATGTACATTCTAAAAATATGCCTTGAAAAATCAAATAAAAAACTAACCCAAGCGGGTCAAGAGCCCCTCAAGTCACTTCTATCTTTTTGTGTCGTCGTTCACCCACCCAAATTAACATCTTATCACCGAGTAGTTTGTGAAAAGAATTTCAAAAGTAGCTATTTGAATTTATTTTGCTGAACTAATAGTTTCTTATCAACTACCGTTTGAGGACATTTTCAACAACGCACTTGTCAGTGACACATACGATATTTGGTGATTGATATAGTTAAGACTCCTGGTTTATGTTCAAAACTTTAAAAACATTATAATTACCTAAATGCTCAAGTCTCAAATAAAATAAGATATCGCAACATATTCTAAGACTTAAGTGCAAAATTGTTTAACCAAATTTAGGGCATTTACTAAGTAGTTTTTATTTATACTAAAGCAGATGCGTTTTCTCCGTGCTTTATAAGTTACTAATAAGACACTTTTGTAGATGAACGCTGCGTTAAACGTCGCTGAATTGATTCGATGTACTCAAGACTATTGCCTCTGTTTGAAAACTCAAATTAAAGTGTTAATAATTATATATACTTGCTGTTATCCGTCCGTCACAATGTGACGATGACGTAGACTTCGCAGGACGAGATCCACAAGGCGTGGGATTCTTCCTCTAATGATTGTACGCTGGTTCACTACACAGCTTGCAGGAAAGTTTTATGCGTGCCTTCTGCCGGCTTGAATTCATAGTTTTCTTATCTTAGACGAGTTGCCAAGGTTAACGAGTTCCGGCCTGGAGGTTTGTGGTGGTTTTTTGTTTTTTGTTTTGGAAGGGGGGGGGGATTGCTGGGGATTGAACTCCATACCTTGAACTTGAGATTAGCTCAGTTTAGATGGTGTGCGTAATTTTGTGTATATGTGTATATGTATATATAAATGTGTGTATGTTTCTATAATATAGTTAAAATAAACTGTAATATATTTATTATATTATTAGTATGTTTTAGTTTTAATGAAAAAATTACAAATTTACTTTCTAGCTCCAATCGTGAGAGATACAAAAGGAAGACAGTTTAAGACAGGGAGACAACCAAATGCAATCATGGACAGTCCCGTCTTCAAGTGTAAGAAATATACATGATAGTTTTTAATTAAGTATAAGTTGCATATTATGTTGGCTACAGAAGATGGCAATCAACATCATATTATTGTGGATGTGATCATGTTTCCCAAAGTAGTTATCTGTACACATCAATCACAACTAAATTTGTGTGCACGTTATGGCACAGTCGGGAAAATTTAAAAAAGAGATGGCTTAAAGCAAGAACGCTGTGCTGTCTACTGTTATGACAAGAATGACATTATTTCTAATTCTCTTTTAACCTTGTTACCTGGTATAAAGCCATTTAGTTTCTTTTTCAAATTAATGATCTATCAAAAAATATTTTAAAATATGGATGAAGAGCCAATCTAACTTTGAATATCAATAGCAGGAGAGATCAGCAGAGGGTGGCAGGAGAGATGGGGAATTCAGCAGGGGCTGGCTAGAGTGATGGAGAGTTCAGCACGGGCTGAGGATATATCAGCTCAAGTGGAGGAGACCCGTTGACGGCAGCAGGTCAAAATTATACCGTGGGATAAGTGGCGTAGCTGAGATAAGTGAACCTAGCGTCTTGCCAAAAAGTAACGAAACTGCAGTTGGCGGAAAACTGCGCCGACTCAGTATCTAGAACAATAATTGTCACTTGGGACGAACAATCCGCGTAAAAATAATATACACATTATATCATTGTTACTGTGGAAGTGTATCCTCGACGAAATGAGCCACATACACTTTGCTTTCAGACATTGCTATACTCAGTCAATGCACAATCGCATTAAGTGGCGTGGTTTTAATAAAATGCCTATTTGTTGTTAAATCAGACATTTGCGATGCTCTCATTCCTACACACATCTACTATAAAACATTGGTTATACAAATAATATAACAAAACCAGGACTGTAAAGCCAATGGGTACGCCAAAGCAATGAACTCAATGAACTGTAGTTTATTTGACATCTTCAAATATTTAAAGATTACGACCATGGGTGCCGCAGGTAGGGGCGAGGGGAGGCACTTGCCCCACCCCCTGGATTGATTGGATAAACAATTTTTAGACAAAAATAGACAAAAAATGTATTAAAGTAAAGAGAAAATAAAGAGAATGTAACTAAGCTAATGCCCTGTCCGTTCGTTCACCATACAAATAATCTACAGTAAATTAAAACTATATTAAAACATTACTAAAAATTGTTTGCCACCCCCCCCCCTGGAAAGTTAATCAATTTAAAATGTATTAAAGTAACAAGAAAATAAAGAGAATGTAACTAAGCTAATGCCCTGTCCGTTCGTTCACCATACAAATAATCTACAGTAAATAAAAACTATATTAAAACATTACTAAAAATTGTTTGCCACCCCCCCCCCTGGAAAGTTAATCAATTTTTTTGGCCCCCCCCCCCTCAGAAAGTTTTCTGCGGGCGCCCATGAATGCAACAATGTTTTATAATAAACCGCAAATCTTTTCTTAAAAAAAAATATTTCAAATAACTTTTTACGAACATAATAAAAAGCGTTATATTTACTGCATGCACCACGTGGTTGACTATATTAATGTTTATTGAATAATGTTTATATGGGGAGGATTGGATACGTTCAAGTTCCAGCAGGCAGCACAAGATAGGCCTCAGAATGAAGAAATTAATTTGATAAATGATTTACCTTCTTCGATATACACATTTCAGAGAGAGGGAAAAGGGTGTGTACATTTTTACGTGGATGACAATATATTCAGATACAATGATATTATGTTCGTGAAAAACACGTGTCGATTTCTCTTTTAACAAATAAGTACATGTTACATCAATTTAAAAAAAATACAGCTCAAGGGCCTTAACAAAAAGTTGTTACATTAGATCCACTTCTCTTATCCCGTACTGTTGACCTAGATCGTAATTTACTTCCCGGGCCAGAATTTAAAGGATACGAAAATTCAAATTAAAAAAAAAGAATTAATAATAAATATTATCAAAATATTATATTGTAAATGAGGTTACATTGTGTTACTAGATAAATATATAAAAAAAAAAAACAAGTCCAGCGCGCCTTAAATGAGCAGACGTTTTGATTGCGTTATCACAGAGAGGCATCGCTTATCATCAAGATGTTTGGTTAATAGCTTTCAAGCCGATAGACAAATTCTGTTTGATTGGATGGAACCATATCTTGATGTCATTTCACTAACCCTGTTGTGAACAATGTTTCTTTCAGAGATTTTTGCCGGTGGTTGGGGCATATTTCATTTTTTCTTGGGGAGGGGGTGGTTGGGCAGTGGTAGTGGACATAGTCTAGAGGCGTAGCTAAGCGTGACAGATGGGACACAGTTCCTGGGGTGCCCGACTAAAGGGGGCGCATAACTGGGATTTCATGGTATTTAATGGTTGAATTACTGGGTGTTAAGGGGGGCATAAAAATGTATCTTGTCTACTGATTCTAATCACTGATAGTGTCGTAGAAAGGGGGTCCAGCCAGGTGTAAATTTTTCTTTATAAGGGAATGCGACATGTTTGTATTGTGAAAGAGTGAGATTGGATAAAGTAAGTTGCTGCCCATTGCGGCACTAATACTATAAACGCCACTAGGCAGTGTATCTAGCGGTACTAAAATTAGCAATAGTTTTCTTCAGAAAGTAGGGCAGAAATCAAAGGGCAAGTGAATCTTAATCGGCGGAAGTGTTTGAGAAGCCTCCCAAGAATATGTTTGATTACTTCAAAATATAGAGGAGCATTTTCGAGTATACTTAAATTCAATGTTTCTATTACAGTTTCGGAAGGGGAAAGAAATTCGTGAGGGCCTGGGGGAGGCATTACGGCA